AATCTCGGCTCACTGCAAGCTCCACCTCCCAGGTTCACGCCATTCTCCTGCCTCAGCTTCCTGGGTAACTGGGACTACAGGTGCCCGCCACCACGCCCAGCTAATTTTTTGTATTTTTAGCAGAGACGAGGTTTCACCGTGTTAGCCAGGATAGTCTTGATCTCCTGACCTTGTGATCCACTGGCCTCTGTCTCCCAAAGTGCTGGGATTACAGGTGTGAGCCACTGCCCAGCTGGGGACCAAGGTTTTATTATGCAAATGAAGCCTTCATTCAGGCTTCAGAGAGAATGGATTGTAAATATCTCTTATCAGTCTTAAAGAGTCAGTAATTCCAAAAGGGAAGAGGGTATAATCAGGCATGTCTGGCTTCCCCTTCCCATCATGGCCTGAACTAGTTTTTCAGGTTAACTTTGGAATGCCCTTGGCTGAGAGGAGGGGTCTATTCAGACGGTTGGGGGTGCCTTGGAATTTTATTTTTGGTTTACAGAGCACAGGCCCAGAAATGAGAACCAGGTTTAGGTCTTGCTCTCCTACTCTCCACTGTGTGACTTGGGCAAGTCATCTAATCTTTCTAAGCCTCAGTTTTCTCATTTGTAGAATGGAAATAATGCCCTTGCTTACTTCATAGTGTCACTCAGAGGCACAGACGATGGAGAGGCAAAATTATTGTCTTTAACTGCCCTGAAGCTTCAGGGAGGAGTTGGACAAGTACACACACAATGTGTTGCGTACTACACCAGAGGTATGTCTGGGGTGTGGTAGTAGCAGAGTGGAGGTAAACCAGTTCTGCCCAGGAGGAGACTGCAAAGCATGGGGCCTGGTGGAAGTAGCCCTCCAGGGCTTTGGGCTCTAATGTTTCTTAAACAGTGGAGTGTTAACTGTATTAAATTTCATTTAGTCCCCACAACAAACCTGTGAGATAGGTGTCATCCATTTTACGTATGAGCAGCTGAGGCTCAGAAAGGATCATGCATTGGCTTGGCCTGGTATTTATAAAGCCCCTATTGAATGCTAAGGGGCGCAAATCTAAGTTCCTTCCTCGTGGAGCTCACATTCCACAGGTGAAGTCACTTGCCCAAGACGAGGCTGGAATGTCAGAGCCAGGATTCAAACCCTCATCTGGTGGCTTCTTACCTCACCCTAGAACTCACTAGCCCTCAGGACATCCTCTTACAGGGAGCATAGACTGTCTCTGCCAGCCCCTGTGGGGAATTTGAGGATTTAAGGGCAAGGCTGGGTCAGGGATAGGAGAGGCCCTGCTATTCCTATGGAACCTTCTGTTTCCCAAGCATTCCCTGGCAGCCCTTCCCCAAAGAGAGACTGAAGGCCTGACCGTGCCAATATTTTCCCCAGGGAAGCAGGGCAGGAGAAGCTTCCCCAGGGGATTTCAAGGGAGGATGGAGGTGGTCTCTGTTCTGGGGTCAGAGAGTGACACCCTCTTCCTGCTGAGGTGGGGAATCCCCTTGGATTTCTCTGGGTTTATGGGAGAGGCCTATTGTTTTCCTACTGATCAGGGCCTCAGGGGAGGAAAACTCAAGACCTGGCAGGCACGTCATAGGACTAAATCAGCCTCTGGCATCTGAGTGGCTCCTTAGGCTTGCGGCTCATTCCTGCCCTCTCATGCCCTCAGCCTCAGGCTGCCATGGGACCCGTGGCACTGCCACTGGGCAGTGATATTTTGTTTTAACTCAAGGAAATAAGAGATTGGCAAACCCCCTTCTCCAAGGAAAAAAATACAGGATTGTTCATTAGAGCATTTGCTCGTAGTGAAAATCATAGGAAACAATGTAAATGGCCAATGTTTAGGAATTAAATAAAATGTGGTAAAAATGTACATGTAATGAAATACTTTTAATGCAGCCATTAAAACTCATTATGTAGAAGAAAATTAATTTCATGAGAAGAGTGCTTTATAACAGATTTAGTCAAAATTCAGATCATAAAACACAATGTACATGATCTCATTTTTAACTCAAGGAAATAAGAAAAAAAATACCTATATGTGTGCATAGAAGAATGTCTAGAAGGATGCATCCAAAGTTAATTGTAGTTATTTCTGGGTAGTAGAATTATACGTTTTCTCCTGTTTTCAATATTTCCAAGTTTCCTTCAGTGAAAATGCGTGTATTTTGTAATCATGGATAAAAAGTTCCCACAGTGTGTATTGGCGAGAGAAGGATTGTTTCCTTTTGGCTTTGCACTTAGATGGCCCAAGGCCTTGGCCTTGTTCCAGGAGTGCAGATATTGTAGAAGCCACCGGGAAGACTGGGAGCAGTAGAAGAGAGGCCAGCTTAAGGAGAATAAACTGGGCATCGCTGTCCAGGTGTCATCCTAAATGTCACCTCCCAGAAAGGCACCTGACCACACAACCTGGCCAAAAGAGGTCACTCCCACACTTACTCTTTACATTTCACCCCAGCTTGCTGTCTTCATAGCACCCGTCCGCATCTGAAGTTATCTGCCTGCATATCCATTTCCTTGGTGATTATTTATCTCCTCCACAGAAGGCAAGCTCTCCAAGAGCAGAGTCCCTGTCTGTCTTGCTCAGTTACTTCTCATCAGGAGAAAGCCAGACCTTGGTCAACAAGCAACTGAGGACTTGCTCAGCAGCCCCAAGCTATGGGCATTTATCCTAAGGCTACACACAGCAGTGAGAAAAAGGAGATAACTTCTTAGGAATCTAGAAATAGGTGGAGAGCTGGCTTATAGGACCACACCTGGGTGGTGCTTAGCAACCTGGAGGACCTGGCCCAGTGTTAGTAACAACAGTGGCCACGTACAGGTGTTGAGGAAGTACCAGCTTCGTGTTTTCTCTTAAGGTAGAACCAATGTAGGTTAGGTCCCTCTCCCTCTGCTTCCAGCCCCCCTGCTGCCACCAGCCAACTCTATCACTCAGCTGCCAACTTCAGCTCCTCTCTTTAGAGCCTTCTGTAGTCAGGTTCTCACTTCAACCATTCCACTGAATCATCCCTGACCAGGACTACCTGTGACTCCAAGAAGCTATATCTCTGTCTTCATATTATTAAATAGTTGACCTGTCATAGTGGACTATGCCATCCTCCTCAGAAGTCTTTCTCCAGGTTTCCCTCCTACTGTACTTGCTAGTCCTTTTCAGTCTCTTTCGCTGAGCTACTGAATGGGGCTCAGCCCTTGCACAGCTTCCCTATTTTTTTTTCTTTTCTTTTCTTTTTTCTTTTTTTTTTTTTTTTTTGGAGACAGAGTCTTGCTCTGTCACCCAGGCTGGAGTGCAATGGCATAATCTCCGCTCCCTGCAACTGCCACCTCCCAGGTTTAAGTGATTCTCCTGCCTCAGCCTCCCGAGTAGCTGGGGTTACAGACACCCACCACCACGCCCAGCTAATTTTTGTATTTTTAGTGGAGACGGAGTTTAACCAGGTTGGTCATGCTGGTCGCAAACTCCTGACCTCAGGTGATCCACCCGCCTTGGCCTCCCAAAGTGCTGGGATTACAGGTGTGAGCCACTGCACCCAGCTGACAGCTTCCCTATTGACATCCACCCTCTTGGTGATCTCATCCTGTGTCACAGCTTTAAAGAACTATGTGCTGAGCACTCACAAGTACTCATTTCCAGCCTGGACCTCTCCCTAGACTCACAGTTCCACCTGCCTACAGTCTTCTCCACTTAAGTGCCTAAAAGGCATCTCACACTTACGTCCAAAACCACATTCCTTATCTTCCCACAAAACATGCTCCATCTGTAGGCTTCCATTCAGAAAATGGCAATTCCATCCTCCCAGATGCTCAGGCCAAAACTGGGAATCTTCCTGCTACTCCCAGCCAACTCTGTCCTGTAGTTCACAGCTTCACCTCCTTTCTTTTTAACCTGCCCCAGTCAGGTTCTAACCCCATTCTTTTTAATCTCTCACTTCCAATCCATCAGCAAATCCTCCATGCTACTGCTGTGGTCCAAGCCACCATTGTCTCTTGCTGAGATTTCTGCCACAGCCTCCTCACTGGTTATACTCTTTCTCTCAGTTTATTCTCAACACAGCATCCAGAGTGATCCTGTTAAAATGTGAGTCACATCATGTCACTTCTCTGTAAAAAACCCTCTAGTGGCTCCTGTCTCGGAATCAGAGCCCAAGTTCACACAAGGACCTCCCTTGAATGCTGTGAATACTGTGGAGCCTCTCGCTACCTCTCTGATCCCTCTCCTACTTCTCCCTTATTCGTTCTACTCTGGCTGCACCACCCTCCTCACTGATCTGTTAACACGTCAGACAGGCCCTCACTGCCACGCTGTTGCACTTGCCATTCCCTCCACCTGGCAAGCTTCTTCCCCATTAATTCTCAGGGCTTATGTCCTCACTCTTTTCAGGTAACATTGTTCATAATTTACCTTCTCAGGTGTCTAGCCTTCTCTGGACACACATTTTATAATTTTGACACCCCTTCTCACCTTCTGCCCCAATATTCCCTACCCCTCTCTCCTGCCTTATTTTTTCTCCCTAGGACTTACCACTTCTGATTCCTAGATTTTTAATTTATGTATTTTGTTAGTTTTTGGTCTCTTCACTACAACCACTCCCCACCCTGCCGTCCGGTAGACTGCAGGCTCCATGAGGGCAGGGTGTTAACCTTTTTTGTCCAATGCTGTATTCCCAGAGCCCTAGGACAGTGCCTGGCATATATAGGTGCTCAGTAAATAGCTGATGAATATCCATGAAAATGAATGAGGGACAACTTACTTTTTATACAAGGCCTTGAGACAAAATGGAAAGGGCACTGAGGTTTCTGCCAGTATAGGAGCATTAACAGACCAAATGAGAAAGAAACCCTCTGAGTGGAGAATGCACCTGGGTGGAAGCTTGTGCCTGTGTCTGCCCTGGGCCAGCATGCTGCCAACTCACACCTCAGTGGCTTTCAAAGAACTCGCCACAGATGGGCTCTCATCTTTCAACTTCCATCCAGGCTTACTTTGTTCAAAGGCCCACCTTCAGTGCCCTGTTTCAATCATTTACTTTCCTTGTTTTTTGCAGGTACCAGAGTTTGTAGCCCATTGGAGGAAAACACATCAAGGTAAGAAAACAATAAGACCACGTCTTGTTTGGGACTTCCCAACCCAGCCTTGGAAACTGTCCAAGGAACACCAGGGTGCTAAGTGTTGGCAGCTGGATAAAGGGAAGGCCCAAGAGACTGTGTTGACTTCCTGGATAGAGTGAGAGTCCTGGGGACAGCGAGGCAGCTCAGTATAGTCAGTGATGGCTGTGAGGTCTTTAGACTCAGGAAGACAGCGTTTCACTTGGGAAAATATGGCAGCCTCCCCCAAGCCAGTTGGTTGTGGGCCCACAGCATGGCTCTCCTGCCCTGCCTTCCCTACCTCCTTCTGGGTCTCCCCTTCCTCACTTGCCCAGATGTGCTGCCTGGCCCACTGAAGGCATAGCAGGCTTCTGCAGAGGGCTTTCTTCTGAGATGGAGTCTTGCTCTGTCGCCAGACTAAAGCACAGTGGTGCAATCTCGGCTCACTGCAACCTCCGCCTCCCGGGTTCAAGCGATTCTACTGCCTCAGCCTCCCAAATAGCTAGGACTACAGGCACACGCCACCATGCCCAGCCAATTTTTGTAGAGACGGGGTTTCACCATGTTGGCCAGGATGGTCTCGATCTCTTGATCTCATGATCTGCCCACCTCGGCCTCCCAAAGTGCTGGGATTACAGGCATGAGCCACCGCACCTGATCTTTTTTTTTTTTTTAAAGCAAGACTGGTTTAGTTCAAAAGGTGTATACTAAGATCTTACTAGTATAGGGCTTCTCTGATTCTGTGTTTAATCTCAGTCCAAATTTTGTTAAGATCCTCAGCAAATAAATGGATGTGGGAAATGTGTGATTAGGAGAGAGGCAGCTTTTAAAAATGTGTCTGGCTTTTGACCATGCAATTTCACTTTCCATAATTTATTCTAGGAAAATACTCATACTTATGCAAAGTTTATGTACAAAGATAGTTATAACTGCATTGTTTACCATTTACAAAAAGGAAACATCTGAAAGCCCAATAGAAAGGAATTGGTTATTCCACGTTGGCACATTCATACAAGGGAATGTCATTAGGCAGAATGATGAAAATATATATGGATGAGAAAGATATTTGAATGTACCATTTTTTAAAAAAAGAAATGGAAAATCTTACAAACCATTCAAAGAAAGTAACTTTGGACTCAGCCTGAAGGGTTGAAATTGAGCTTAGTCTCTTAATCAAGTTGGGAACTCAGGCAAGTAATGTGATCTCCCTGAACTTGTTTCCTGCCTGTAAATGGGGCACAATAACACCTAGCTTGTGAAGTTGGAAGGATTAAGAGAGATTACCACATCTAAAGGCCTCAGCACAGCCCAGTAGGTGATGATTGCTCAGTAGCTGGGTGCTTAGATGAGACTGTGATATTATTTTTACCTATTTATAAGCCAGGAAACATTCTGGAAATTCATACACCAGCAGTGAAGTTTTCTGACTAATCGAATCATGGATGATTTTTAATATTTTCTTATTTTTCTACAAAGAATATCTCCTGCTTATCTAAGGATGGTATAGTTTTTAAAAAGTGACAATTTAAAAGGTTAAAAGAAAAAGTAACAATTTAAAAGGTTTAAAAAAAAAAAGTGCATTTCAGCAGGTAAGTTTGTTAAGTAATCCCTGCACAGAGCTCTAGAGAACTGAGGGAGAGGTGGGAAAGAAAGGGAATAGGAAGAACAGTGGGTAGAGGAAAAGAAAGAAGCGGAGGTCAGACCCCAGGGCTAGTGGCCAAGGAGATGCACCTCAGCGGTAATGCTGGAGCCCCAGCAAGCATTGTGTGTGTCCTCCCATCCCCTATGATTGGCACCTCCCAGGGGAACTCCAGGTAGGAGATGGTAACCAAGGCTCATCTGTCCCAGCTTCTGCTGACAATAAATGTGTAGAGCCTCTTTTAGCTGCTGAGACAGCCTGACTATAGCACATCCAGGGAGAGGCCCTGTGGCTCTAGTCCTGGGCCTGGCTCATCCACCTTTGGTAAACCCAGCATTTTTTTCCACGTCCTGAGTAGGAGAGGCAGGGCATCCTAGTGAATTCCCAGAAGTCATTCTAAAAGGATTAGCACCTCTCTTCTTTAGCAGCCCGGTAGGATCTATACCCAAGAGACAGGTCTCCCAAGCAAATACAGGCTGCCAGGAAAGGGAAATGGTGACCACCTAAGGGCTGCCATTCCTGGCTCTCATCCCCACCCACACCCCACCAACTGCCTTAATGGCCTGTGACATCAGGAGGAACCCTTCCATGCTGATGGTGCTTATGCCCACCTATGACAGTTCATTGAGTATTCTTAGAGAGACATGACTCTTCTATATAAGCGAATTTTCCAAATTATTAAATTTGATCCCATCACATTGCAGTTTTAAAATTGTACCCATTTTAAATTAATTTCTATTTCATCAAATTTATCAAAATAATACACAAATTCAAAATGGCTGGAAGAGTTGATTTTGAATGTTGTCACCACAAAGAAATGACAAGTGTTTAAGGTGATAGATATGCTAATTATCCTGATTTGATCATGACACACTATATGTATGTCTAGAAACATCACACTGCACTGCAATTATTATGTGTCCATTAAAAATAAATAAAAAATAATGCATGCGTGTGGTTTAAATATCAATTGTACTGAGAAGCCCATAATAAAAATCCCTTCCCCACCTTTCGCAGTTTCCCTCTCTATAGGCTTCCTCTTTCAACCATTTACTAATTTCCATTTCTGTTTATACTGTTTTTTGATCTACCAATTTTAGGCATTTGTTGACTTCTTGTGGTAGATGAGGATTGAACTTTCCTACAGAACCATCCCCACTTTTCCTCCCTCCATCTTTCCAATAAGAACATAACACAATCTGTGGTTAACTCAATAGTGAGTATAGACATACTCGTCACTGCTGAGTTATGTAGCATCTTTGAGTTCCGGAAGATTTTCTTATATTATTTCTTTAATAATTTTCTTCCCTCTGTTTTATCTGTTGGATCATCTGGATTAATGTTTTAGTTTCCTTATGTTTTCTCTCCTGCTTTTCATCTCTTTGCCTTTTTGGTCTATTTTCTTGGGAAACCTTCATTGACTTCATACTCCAATCCTTCTGTTGATTTTTTTTTTTTTAATTTTGGCTTTCTTTTTCTAATATCCTAGTACTCATTCTTGTTCTGCCTGTTCTTTTTCAAAAATATCACATTCTTTTTTATGCATATACTGTCTCCATCTTATTCTTCTTGAGGCACTATTTATTTTTCATTTGTCCATTTGTCTTAATAGTCTTCTAGTCTCTATTTTGTTTTTGTTTCCAACTGGAGGTGGCAGCAGTGGCGGGGCTGGTTGTTGTTGTTGTTGTTGTTGTTGTTGTTGTTGTTCTTCTTCTTCTTCTTCTTCTTCTTCTTCCTTCTTCTTCTTCCTTCCTCCTCCTCCTCCTCCTCCTTCTTCTTCCTCCTCCTTCTTCCTGCTTCTTCCTCCCCCTTCTTCCTCCTTCTTCCTCCCTCCTCCTCCTCCTTCTTCTTCTTCTTCTTCTCCTCCTTTTTCTTCTTCCTCCTTCTTCTTTCTTCTTCTCCCTTCTTCTTTCTTCTTCTTCTCCCTCTCTCTGTCTCTCCATCTCTCCTTGTTGGAGGCTTTCCTTAAATGCCAAATATCTCAGCTATCTGCTGGTATTTATTAATGGACTAATAAGAGGCTGAACTAAACTCTGCTTGGGCAGAATTTATTAACTGGGGTTTCACCACAGGAAGCAAGCCAGTCTTTTAGTTAACAAGCCTCCAATAAGCACCTTTTTTTTTTTTTGAGACGGAGTCTCGCTCTGTCACCCGGGCTGGAGTGCAGTGGTACGATCTTCGGCTCACTGCAAGCTCTGCCTCCCGGGTTCATGCCATTCTCCTGCCTTAGCCTTCCTAGTAGCTGGGACTACAGGTGCCCGCCACCACGCCCAGATAAGTTTTTGTATTTTTAGTAGAGATGGGGTTTCACCATGTTAGCCAGGATGGTCTCAATCTCCTGACCTCATGATCCACCCACCTTGGCCTCCCAAAGTGCTGGGATTACAGATGTGAGCCACTGCACCTGGCCATGAGCACCTTTTCTCTAGAGCTAGGTTTCTCGGCCTTGGTACTAGTGACATGTTGGACCAAAGAATTCCTTGTTGTCAGAGGCTGTCTCGTGCACTGTAGAATGTTTAGCAGCACCAGTGACTTCTATCTACTAAATGCTAGTAGTAACCCCCCTCCCAGAGATGTGATAACCAAAATGTCTGTAAACATTGCCAAATGTCCCCTGGGGGACAAAGTCACCCTGTTGAGAACCACCACCCTGAAGCCATTCTGCTCTCAAGAGAAGCATTCTAACTCCTAGTTCTAGTTATTGATCTCTACATAACAAACCACCCCAAAACTTAGTAGCATAAAACAACCACCATTTTTAGGGCCACTGTCAAGGATTCAGAAGGGCACGGCTCTTTATTCTACAATGACTGGGATGACTGGAATGACTGGAGGTGACTGGAATGACTGGGAGTTGGAACAGCTGGGGCTGAAGGGTCCACTTGTAAGATGGTTGTTCACTTGGCAAAGAGAGCTGGAAGGCTGGGCTCAGCTGTTGAGAGACTACACATGGTGTTCCCAGCACCATGGCCCGGTCACTGGGCCTCTTATGAGGTAGCTCAAGTCTCTGGTGTGAGTGTTCTGGCCAGCAAAACAGAAGCTGCATGGCTGTGTATGTCCCAGCCGTGGAAGTCACATAGCTCATTTCCACTGTGGTCAGAAATCCACACAGGTTCAGGGAAGGAGATACAGACCCACCTCTCCATTGGAGAAAAGTCAAAGAATTTGCAACCATCTTTTAAATCCACCATACCCTCATCCAGAGTGATATAGACCTGGGGTGGGGCGGGGCAAGGTAAGTGGGTGGGACATTGAGTCCCACACTTCGTTCTTCAGACTTTTCCCTCCATTTTCATCTCTGTATTCATCTGCCTTCCCTCCTGCCTGTCTCTCTCCTGTTCAGTGTCTTTGTCTCCAGCTGTGTGGGGCAGGGTGCGGAGGTAAGACCTGGGGAGGATTTCAACCAGTTTCCTGCATTCATTACCCTCACTGGCTGCTGTACCTCAGCCCCACCATCCACAACACCTGGTCTCCCCAAGTCTGAGCTCCTCCTGCAGGGTTCCAGGGGTAAAGCGGCTTGCCTCCTGTCAGTGTGCCCCCTCTGCAAGCCCTTCAGAGCCTAGCTTCCTCCATATCAGTCATTATTCCTCTACCTGCCTCCCCGCTTCCTGGAGTTTGGGGAACTTTTTCAGCCACTCATGTCTCCTTTACCATTTCCTTTGCCTTCGAGAGTTAATACCATTTGGTTTTTTGTTTGTGTGTCTGTTTGTTTGTTTGAGACAGAGTCTCGCTTTGTCACCTAAGCTGGAGTGCAGTGGCACGATCTTGGCTTATTGCAACCTCTGCCTCCCGGGTTCAAGTGATTCTCATACCTCAGCCTCCCAAGTACCGGGGACTACAGGCATGTGCCACCATGCCCGACTACTTTTCGTATTTTTAGTAGAGATGGGGTTTCACCATGTTGGGCAAGCTGGTCTCGAACTTCTGATCACAAGTAATCCATCCTCCTCATCCTCCTAAAGTGCTGGGATTACGGGTGTGAACCACCACGCCTGGCCCCATTTGATTTTTTTAAGAGATAAGGTATCACTTTGTTGCCCAGACTGGAGTACAGTGGTGTGACCATAGCTCACTGCAGCCTCAAACTCCTGGGCTCAAGTGATCCTCCCACCTCAGCCTCCTGAGTAGCTGAGACTCCAGGTATACACCACCACACCCAGCCAATTTTTTTTTTTTTTTTTTTTTTTTTAAAGACAAGGTCTTACTATGTTGCCCAGGCTGGTCTAGAACTCCTGGACTCAAATGATCCTCCTGCCTTGGCCTACCAAAGTGCTGGAAGTATAGGCGTGAGCCACTGCACCTGGCCGCATTTGATTTCTAGACTAGCATTTTAGTGGTGCTTCAGGATAGAAAGGAAACTGGGAGTGTAAATAACTGACGTGTTGAACTGGAAACCCTGTTGCACCTCTCTTGTATGGATCTATCTCTACATTGTGTTATAGTCTTCCCTGACCTGTAACAGCTCTGTGAAGCAGTACAGTGACATTTAACCTTTTGTTGATCATTCAGAGTCCTCTTTATGAAAACACTTGTTTACCTTGGAATTATGAAGCTATTAAGCTATTACCTTGGAATTACTAAGTAGAGCTATGTGTTCCTCCATGATGTGGACCCCAATCATTTTGCTGGGATTCTTCAAACCTTTCTTCATGGCCGCCTCTGTCCCTGGCTGCCTCTCATCCTATGTATTTGTGGTGAGAGTGCCACATTACAGCATGTTAGCTTCTGATGTATCTTTTCAAATGCCCTGGTGACTCTGCTGGGCGTTCTTTGTTTGCCATCCCCCGACACATCCCTGCTCCTATTGATTTTCTGCCCTTTCCCACACCCCCCAGGGTTTGACCTTTGCGGATTCCATCAGCCAGGCTCCAGGTCCCCATGCTTCCAGTTGGGTTTGGCCAATTGAAGACCCCTTCCCTGACCAGAGGTTGGAGGCTGGGAGGGGAATTGGGAGGTGCTTTATCTCCCCAGCTCCCTCCCTTGCCAGGTCTCAGGTCAATAGTACCTGTGTTTTTCACCCTAAAACCACAGCTCCTGCTGGCAACCCCCTCCTACAGGTCTCTCTGGGTTCCAGGAGCCCTCCCACCTCCTCCCTGGGGATTGGTGGTCACAGCTCCCACTGTTGCTGGCTGCAGGGTGCTTCACCTTTCCTTGAGGGTTTCTCTTCATCCTGCTCATCCTTGGAAACAGTCCCTTCCTCAGTCTCTCCTGTTACCAGTGGAGTGTGCATCTGCTTCCTGCTGGGACCGTGATCAATACACGAACCTTTTCTGATTTGCATCTAAAACAAGGATACTCAAGCAGGGAGGGTATGAACATTAAAAAATAAAAATAAAACAAGAATGAATAGTCCCTAAGTGAGCCCTGAGAGACTCTCTTCATTGAGAGTCTGGGTATGAGCTTTGTGACTTATCTAGGCTACTCAAGGGCTTTTGTTTGTTTGTTTGTTCATGTCGATGTTTTTAACCATAATGCAGATAATAGAGGGCAATAAATTAGTAACTTACATACTTACTGGAGTGATTTGAGAAGGAAAATAAGCATGTAAATAAAGGGAAGCCAGGAGAGAGAATTTATGATGACTCAGAAGTTACAGGACAGGGCCAGGCGCAGTGACTGATGCCTGTAATCCCAGCATTTTGGGAGGCTGAAGCAGTGGATCACTTGAGGTCAGGGGTTCGAGACCACCCTGGCCAACATGGCAAAAACCCGTCTCTACTAAAAATACAAAAATTAGCCAGGCATGGTGGCAGGTGCCTGTAATCTCAGCTACTCAGGAGGCTGAGGCAGGAGAATCACTTGAACCTGGGAGGCATCGGGTCACTGCACTCCAGCCTGGGCGCCAAGAGCAAAA